GTGCAAAGACTAAACAAAGGGTCAGAATATTCTTCATGGGCTATTCTGTGGGAAATGAGGATGTGAAAGTTGCGGAGTCCTATTTAAAATGCGCTGCAGTTATTTGAGCATAATGTCAGTGCAGAAAGTGGCAGGTTTTAGTACGCTGTTTAGGAAAAAATCCTAGGACGGTCTTTTCTGCTGGTGAAGGTTTAAAGTCCAAGATTTCCAGTTAAGACCGTCATAATTCTGACCCCTGTTGAGAAGATGGAATTAGACTCCATTTAGACCACATTTGGCCTAATGATATTCAAAACCTCCTGAAGCAAATCCCAAATGAGCATAAATTACAATGTGAGATTAGATACCAGGGGGAATTTTGTGATAATCTGGATTGTAAAGTGCCAAAAGCTTCTAATGGAAGGGCAGTTTAGATTTTGGTTCCAGAAGCTCCTAATGAAGTCAATAAACACCCTAACCTAAGACCAGTTCAGACTTTGCCTGCCCCTGGGCCCTTCTTATCGGTTCAGCTGTGACTTAGGGGACATTGGGGGAACCTGTGAGATGATAGATGATCAGGTTTCTAAACTTGTTACTAAACTTGTTACTGTGGACATTTGGGCTGGATAATTATTTGGGGTTGGGAGGCTGTCCTGCACCTTGTAGGAGGTTCAGCAGCACCCCTGGCCTCTAGCCACTAGATGCCAACAGCATCCCCCCCCTGTTGTGACAACCAGAAATGTCTCCAGACACTGCCAAATTTCTCACAGGGGGCAAAATCTCTCTCTAGTGGGAACCACTGCTGTAGGGTGACCTACTGTCCCAGTTTGCCCAGGACTTGAGGGATTTCCTGGCAGGTGGGACTTTCAGTGCTAAAACCAGGGAAGTTCTATTTTATACCAAAGTTTAAAAGTAAGAAGCCAAACCTTCTGAAAAGTCTTATGTTTGGGAGGCACTGACAAAGGCATGTGGGGCAATATGATGCAAGAGGAGTATCATTCCATGACAGCATGTTTCTGGATCCCATAAAAGCTTTCGAGTTCTGTCCCTCTTCTTCCTCAGTTCCTCTAAAGCCCAAAGCTTGACAAGATGGGCCATTGGGAGGCTTGATCCTGGCTTGTGGACCAAGAAGACAAACTTGGATTCAAACTTGCTGCTCTTGTTTGACACCTAGTAGTGAGTTTGAGTGACAGACTTCTCGGAATGGTAGGCTGTGTGACAGTATACATCATGAAAGTGACAACCACAGCGGGGACTAATTTAATTCCACTTTCTTTGCAGGCCCCGATAAATCATTCCTGCAGGGAAAAATAAATTTTACTTTTTCAGACAAATCATTGAAATAATGATGTGCTCTGGGGAAATTGGTGGCTGAGAGAAGGTCTGTTAGTGGGCTTAAAAATATTTAAACAACATATCCTGGAACTTGTTGCAAACGCCTCCTGCGCCTGGCCTGGTAAATACCAGAAAGGCCTTCTTTCCAGACTAATTAGAAGAGACACATACAATTGTATCGGCCTTGGATAAATGATTGTTTTTTAAGCCATCTTATTGGAAAAGGTATAATAATTGATTATAGTGCTGCATATCCTACATAAGTTGGTGGATGAAACAACTAAAATAAAGATTCTAGAATCTGGAGTCCCGATGAACCGTTTATGAACAAGAAAAGTCTCAACGTGAATGGAAAATTGCCAATGTTTTCCACCTCCTTTCCAGAATATGATTGTTGCTTAGGAATATGGTTCGTCTGCTGGGAGGCATTTAAGCTGCTGCGGGAAGGAGAGGGGAGAGAGGAGGTACTTGGGCCCCAGAGTGCTACGCACAAGCAGCCTAGTGAATGTGAGGTGTGCCGTGTAGATGGAACGCCTGCCCACAGGAGAACAGTAGGGTGTGGGCTCTAATGCTGTAGGGAGACGCAGGCGCTTCGTCTAAGCTAAACAACGCCTTGTTCACTTTCAGGAGATTCTGCAGCCCTGTTTTAGTCCATTAAAAGCACAAGAGAACCACTTGCTGTGACTAAAATCCATGGCTTCCAACACTACCCATTGGCATATTGCTCTAGGCTCTGGGGGCCATTTAGGAAAGAACCCACGGGAAGTTTTGCTTATGGCCATTTCCCACAAGCAAGCCAATGTGATTTTCTTTCTCTCTTTTTATTTATTTATTTGTTTTGGAGACAGGGTTTCTCTTTGTTGCCTAGGCATAAGGGCAGTGGCATGACCATAGCTCACTGCAGCCTCAAACTCTTGGCTCCTGGGCTCAAGCAATCCTCCTGCCTCAGCCTCCCAAGTAGCAGAGACTGCAGGCACACGCCACCACACCTGGCTAATTTTTCTATATTTCATAGAGACGGGGTCTCCCTATGCTTCCCAAGCTGGTCTCAAACTTCTGATCTCAAGCAATCCTCCCATCTTGGCCTCCCAAAGTGCTGGGATTATAGGCATTAGCCCCACCGCACCCAGCCTAATTTTCTTACTCTTGATGTCAACCTGAGTTGCACTCCAACTTCAGTGACTGATAGAATAGATCATCTGCAAAAGCTATAACAACCCCTGTCAGGGAGCAGCCTCGTCCTTTCAAGCAGTGTGAACGTAAGGTAAATGAGCAGTTACTGCAGAGATGATTTTATAGGAGTGAAAAATTCTGCGTTAGAGCAGCAAGAATTGGTATGTGAATTACAAAACTGCTCCAGCTCATGACTCCCACTCCCCACCTGAGAACAATGGCTCTCGTCTGCCACCCACCCAACTTTGGGGGAGCTTTGCTTTCCATTTGTTTTAACCCTGATGAACAGCCCAGAGCCGTGGGTTAGGTCCGGCCAGCCGTTGAGAATACATATTTGTCTTTTCAAAAGCCAGGCCTGGATACTGTCAGACATAAGAGAAACAATTTGAGAAGATACACAAGGTACACAGTATTTTACTGGCTCTGGTTATCACGTAGAGTCCACGTCCAAGAGGGGTTTGGGAATTGGAGTTCTATTAGCTCGATGTCCCCACTTTTCCTACTTACATCAGCTTGGAATTCAAAACTGTTTCTTGAGATTTTTTATTGCCAACATGCAGCCATGAGGAGCTGAGAGCCTATGCCATTTCCCTGGGACTGATCTACGGCTAGACATTAGCATCCCGGATGCTTAGTGGTAGGCACCAGAATAGAAAAAAAGCAAACGGTAGGCTCTAGAAAGACAGAAACCCTTGGTTATAGTGCTGGGGGAAAACACAATCATACAGATATATTTTAAGGAATAGATAATGTCATATATTTAAATGTAATATTTAAGGAATTCTCTGGAGCTGCACTATTCTAAAGCATTTGCTTCTGAAGAAAAGCAAAATAAAACAAAACTTCATCCGTATTTGGTTTACAAAAGACCTTGGGACTTGTGCCTTTTGAGAATTTGTTTTCTCAATCCGGAGGATTGTTGCTGTTATTTTATTAGTTGCCTAATAAACCACAACAAATTGCCACAAACTAGGTGGCTTAAAACCACACAAATTTATCTTCTCGTAGTTCTAGGGCCTCCGAGGGAGAGTCTGCTCCATGCCTCTCTCCTATCCTCTGGTGTTCTTGGGCTTGCAGCTGCGTCTCTCCTGTCTCTGTCCCCATGTGCTCCTGAGTCTCAAATCTCTCTCTCCTTCCTCTTATAAGGATACCAAGCATTGGAGTTAGGGTTCACCCTGTATCCAGGATGACTTCATCTTGTGATCCTTAACTTAATTACATCTGCGAAGACCCTGCTTTCAAATTAGGTCAGTTTCACAGGTACTAAAGGTTAAGACATGGACCTATCTTTTGGGGAGACACAATTCAACCCACTATAGTCATTGAGGAGCTATATTTTGTTCCTCTTCATATCTCTTAAGTTGCTACTCTCTGTTGCTTTTGTCCATTTTTCAAAGGTCACTCATGTGGGTTGCCACGCTTAAGCCTGTCTCTAACATTTGCCTCTGTTCCCAACCCCCGCCATCCCTTTATACCACTTCCACCATACACCTCCTAGGGGACAATGGCCAAACCCCTCCAAACATGGTGCCTCCCAGGCCCTGAATTCTCATGTCCTTACAAATCCAAACAGGACAGGCTCACAGAACTATGGAGTCCCTGTCTACCTTCACACATTCTGAGAGCACATGAATATGCACAAGAAACAACTAGCTACGGTAAAGATCAGAGAGATGAGGAATGGGAGGCTGTGGAGAGGACAGATGCCTCAGAACTCTGATTTCTCCAGCAACTTATCCAGAAAGATGTGGTAGTACGGTGAGGCTCTGAACAGACTCTAATTGTTTTTGTTTTTTCTCTTTCTTTCTTTCCTCTTAGCAAACTGCCTAGTTGGGCCAGAGCTGTTGTCCCCAAAATATTTTATGTTACAGAGAAGGCTTGGAACTATTATCCCTACACAATTACAGGTAAGTCTTTAGTTCAACCAGTATGCTACATGTAGCAAAGGCCAGGACATAGCGGTAGCTGCATTTCACTGATTTAGGGCTGATGATCCAAGCAGGGCCTTGTGAGAGCCCAGTAACATCTCCCTCATCCTCCGCTCTCTTACCTCTAGGGCATCAGTGCTCTTCCTGCCACTGAGTCGCAGGGATGGCAGGGAATGGGGAGGTTAAGCTAAGACAGTCCATCTTCCTTCTTAAACTGATTATAACAAATAGCTATGGAGAAGGAAGATGAAGATCTTTTTAGTGACATTTCTAGAGGTTTTGTGGTCCTTGTTTCCCCCTGTTTCCTCAATAATTCCCAGGTAATTTGGGGGCATGATTTGTCTATGAACTTTTGATTTGTTTATTTTATAGCCTCCCCTCCCCTCCAAATTTTACTATAATTTGTGTAAAAGGTTCTGTTGGATCTCTCTGTCCCAAACTACTTCCTTTGTTATTAGATAATATGGAAATCTTTAAGATCACTTTCCCTCTCATGTGTAATGCAATGATAATAAACTCTCTGCACTAAATGCAACACTAAAAACTGCGGCCAGAAAAATTTTGGTTTGGTTCCTGCCCTTGAACACACTAAAATTCAAGATCCCACTTCGATATCATCATAACAAGCTCTTATTGGTTATAAAAGCTGCTTTTCCACTCAGAAGATTTCCTTTGTGGTTAATGAAATGCTCTACTAGAATTATTAGTCTTTAATTCTGCTTTTATAATGCCAACTCTTTGGTTTTTAATTAGCCACAAACCTATAGGCTAATTGAATCTAGTCTTACTGTCTTTATCTACCCAACCACAGTAGTATCATATGAAAGAATTTCAGTGCAAACATGGAGACATTTAGTATTTATGAAAGTTTAATTTTTGGAAGGTTTCTGTAGCACATTTTTTAGTAATGATAATTCATCAGTATTTGTTAATTCTGTGGCTTTATATTGCATATAAGCATGGTCTAAATCATTATTTTGTCTCTCTTTCTTCTTTCCCCTCTTCTTCAAATGAACATGTGGAATCAGAATACACAGCAAGTTTCATTTAATTATTTTAAAATATTCTGTTTATGATCAGTGAAAGAGGAATAAATCATTATTTTGTCTCTCTTTCTTCTTTCCCCTCTTCTTCAAATGAACATGTGGAATCAGAATACACAGTAAGTTTTATTTAATTATTTTTAAATATTCTGTCTATGATCAGTGGAGTAATTGGAACTTCCCTGTATTACTTGTCTTATCAATGTAATAATTTTTAAAAAAAAGGAATAATTCAGAATCAGAAATATTTAAATGTAGGCTATTACATAGTTATATATAATGCAATAATTTGAATGTTCTCATTTGTTCAAGAATATGAATGCTAATTTCAAGTGCCTTGATAGTCACTTTACATAATTAACTTTTGCTTGTAATTTTTAAATAGTTTGACTGCTATATTGATGATAGTTGGCTATAATGGAAGAACAGTTTCTAGCAATATGATATTAAAGGGATGATGGTAGTTACTGAGGGAAGGTAGGACTCACAGGCTGTGTCCTGATCCCTTAGAGGGGAGAACCTTGAAACTGGAAAGGTGTATGTGTAAACTGTTTTACTCAGAAATCTGGATTGCACAATCTCTTTGTGGCTTGATGAAATAACTTAATTTCTTCCCTATCCTAAGAGCCTCTAGAGCTATTACTAAAAAGAAAAAAAAAAACAGGGAGAACCTATAATATCATTGTCTGTGGTATTTTCCTATGGATCATTTTCCCCAATGGCCAATAGGTCAAGCTATCATAATAAAAAAATGGTTAACTGAGCCATGATAAAAGTTGAGTTTTTGGTTTCAATGAAAACAGCCAAAGGAGGCCAGGCACGGTGGCTCATGCCTGTAATCCTAACATTCTGGGAGGCCGAGGTGGGAGGATCTCTTGAGCTCAGGAGTTTGAGACCAGCCTGAACCCTGAGCAAAAGTGAGACCCCATCTCTCCTAAAGATAGAAAGAATTAGCGGGCATGGTAGTGTGTGCCTGTAGTCCGGGCTACTTGGGAGGCTGAGGCAGGAGGATCACTCGAACCCAGGAGTATGAGGTTGCTGTGAGCCAGACTGATGCCACGGCACTCTAGCCCGGCAACAGAACAAGACTTGTGTCTAAAAAAAACATAAAACAAACAACAACAACAAAAACAAAACCAGCAAAAGAAAGAGAAAGATGGTGAGAGAAATAGAGGAAAATGATTTATCATGCCCTTGGCAAGAACATGGTACCTGGCATATCCTAGGTGCCTAATAAATAGCTATTGAATGACGGAATGAATGCATGAATAATAGATAGACAGCCCTAACACAGGCTTTGGAGTCAGACAGGCCTGGGTGTCCTCCAGCTCTGCCACTTACTGGCTGGAGTTCCCAAGCAAGCAGCCCCTAACTGCCGTACTGGAATGCATGCTGATCCTCACCTATCCTCTGCAAAATAGAAAAACAAATAATAATATTCAAAGTTTTTCATAAAATTAAATTTATTTCATGTAAAGGACTATTGGTAATTATATCCCCTCATACTTGAGTATTAAAATATCTTTTCTTTTATGAAATTATAGGAACATATAGCATTTCCTCCCCAATGTCTCTAACTCTGAAAAAAAGAGGCAACTCTATGGAAAAATGCAAATTTAAAACTTTTGGAGTCGTGGAACCACTGCTTTAGAATAAGCATCTTAACTTTTCTGAACCTAAGTGTCCTCTTTTCTAAAATTGGGATAATCCTTCCTTCCTCGAGCTGTCGGTAGGAGTCAATGATCTAACATAGAGGTTGGAAAACATTTTCGGTAGAGGATCATATTATAAATATCTTCTTCTTTGTGGGTCAGTCTCTTCTTTGACAGTCTCTTGTCACTGCAAAAGCCGCCATAGATGGCATGTAAACAAATTGGCATGGTCATGGTCACCCAGGCAGCAGGCCAAATTTGGCCCCCAGGCTCGTTTGCCAACCCCAGATCTAATGCACAGAAAGCTCTCAGCACATTGCTTGTAGACAGCAGGCCATTAAATGGTTCCCTACAACCACCCCCACTCCCTAGTTCTATTGCTTTTAGCAGTTGCACAGTCATTGAGAGGTAGACTTTGGAATCGGTTGAATCTTGCTTCCAACACCCATTAGCAGACTCTTTAAGCCTCTATTTCCTCCTCTGTAAGTGGGGAAAATGTAATAACTATCTCATAAAGGTGATGTGAGGATTATATTAAATAACCAAACTCTTAAATAATCCAAAATCTTAGCTTAGTGCTTGGTGCTTGTTAAATACTCAACACATGTTCATTGTCATATATTGTACAGTGCTGGAAGGCTACCATCATTAAAATGTAAGTTCTAGGGGGGAATAAATGAGAATATATCTTAGGGCCTTTCAATATAGACTAGATTGCAGTGATCGGCCTGGATGGTACCAGTTGTCCAGGATATTATTTTAATTTAGTGATATCTGATGGTACCTCATGTCCCACTTCCCTGAAAACTTATGTTTGGATTTTTCATTTGAAATATAATCAATAATTGTGTGAAAAAGAGAATTCTTGTCCATACAACTACACCAAGGAAGCTATTGGTCTGGTGAGCTTTAGAATTAGGTCACCTTGATTGGACCCCAAACCAATGGCACTTATTCTTCATAAGCTCATGACAGAACCATGGAATGTGGAAGTTGTAGGTAACATTAACATATAGGTAATATTAACAGAGAAATGAAGTTGAAAAATGTATAATGATATTGTGTTCATTTTTTAAGAATATGTATTAAAGTACTTAGGTTCTGAAAACTGCAACAGAATGGAAACCATGGTTCTCGACCAAGCCACACCCCTGGGGCTTTGAGTTTCAGGACAGGGCTATAGTCCCCAAGGCAGGAGACAGGAAGAACAGGACACAGCATTCTTAGGCAGGTTATTCAGTGGATGTGGTGCTGGGGAGATAAGATTGTCAGCTTTAGTAAGTAAAAATACAGGATATCCAGTTATATTTGAATTATCAGATAAACAGTAGATTATTTTTAGTACAAGGATCCTTCAAATATTGCACAGGACATAGTTATGCTAAAAGATTGTTGTTTATCTGGTAACCAGAGGGAGGAGAGATAGCTATATGGCAAAACTGGTCTCAGAGACTCAAGTACAAAACTCAGATTATGAGAACAGGGGCACACCAGTGGGCCAAGGGAAGGGAAGGTATGGGATGTGTATAACTCAGGAACCTGTCCTGCAGTTGACATGCCACAATAACTCTAAGGCCAATCAGGTGCCCTGTTGGAACAACTGGAAGGTCCTTCCTGCCTCAGTTAGGATTGGCTAAGGAAGTGGAATGGAATGAGAGGGCAGAGTTGGGGAAAAGTCAATGGGAGCAGATGAATATAAAACTATCAGTGTTTTAGGGAAGGCCTGTGTATATGTGTTATAGTTGAAGTGCAAACAGAGGGTCGTAGGAGGGAGATATTCTGCTGAGGAGAAATACGAGAAGATTTCCTGGAGAAGGTGGCATTGGAGCTGGACTCGAGGGGAAGTAGAACTCCCCTGCAGATGCCTGCTCTGTCTCCGTCAGCTCAGGCTGCTATAACAAAATGCCACAGACTGAGGTCCTTAAACAACAGACATTTATTCCTCACGTTGGGGAGGCTGGAAATCCAAGATCAGGGTGCTGGCGGATTCAGCTTCTGGTGAGGGGCTCTCTTCCTGCTTGGCAGGTGGCCGTCTTCTTGCTGTGTCCTTACATGGCAAGGAGAGAGAGCAAGTTCTCTGGTCTCTTCTTATAAGGGCACTAATCTCATCATGAGGACCGCATGACCTCATCTAAACCTGATTGTCTCTCAAAGGCCCTACCTCCAAATCCCGTAACATTGGGGCATAGGGCTTCAACGTATGCATTTTGGAAGGACACGATTTAGTCTGTAATGTGCTCATTCCCGGCCCAGTGGGCAAGTGATGTAGGTGGATCCTGGCTTCCTGGAGGGCGGGTTGTGGTGCTTTTAATGTCAGACCAGGGTCTAGATTCAATTCCCTGTGGGGAAGTCACATTGTTCCTAGCTAGTTCACTTTTATTTTCCATCTCAAATATAGGCCAACTTCTCTTTCCGTCTCCCCAGTGACTGAGGGATCCGGATTTTTCTCTCTCTGGCCCCAGTGTTCTCCTCCAGGCCTGCAGTGTGCGTTTTGAAGCTGCCACCCCTTGACTTAGACTCAGCCGTGTTCTCACGCTCTCTGCCCGCAACAGCCCCGGGGGAAGAGCCCACCCTTCACTCTGACTACAGGGTCTACTCGTAGGATTTATGCCAGAGGCTTTCAATTGCCTTCATCTTTTTTCCTGTTTCAAATGCTTTTTAATTGGACTCTTTATCCCCTGATCCTTTAATCCTAAATACCTCTTCTTGATGTCTTTCCCAAGCTCTATATTTCCTGTTGTATGCCCAAAAGCAAAACTTCCCCAATGTCAGACTCCCAGCTAGGATGACTGTACCCTACCCTTCTTCAGAGAGGCAGTCCCTAGGGCTCTAAAACCTCCAGACCAACATCTCTTCTCAGAAAGCATTAGCCCAGAGCACTAGTGTGTCCATACCTAGGATCCCCTAGGTCTCACATTTCACTGTCCAGACTATTTCTTAGACCTCATGCTGTCCTCATTTGTGACAAAACCCAGGTGAGAGAACTTTCTATTTAAGGCCATCTAAGGCTTCAGCATTATCACAGTTATCAAGATATAAAAGCTTTTCCTCACTGCAAGCGACTGTGTGTGTGTTTAGAATTATGTGAAAATGTCATTTGCCCAGGAAGTGGAAAAATATCTTTAGCTTGGTTATGGGAAAAATCTTAATTATACAGTAAACAAAGAACAACACAATGACAATTTTCTTTTGCTCTTTTTTTTTTATTTCAGCGTATTATGGGGGTACAAATGTTTAGGTTACGTATGTTGCCCTTGCCCCCCCGCCTCCCTCCCCCCCACAATGACAATTTTCCAGTGGACAGGTCCTTTTAGCAGTTCTTCAAAACCGGCAGGTTCTTC